AAAAAGAAGAAATTCGAGTTTCACTGATTTCACTCTTTATTTTCAATACAGTCACTGTCTAATCGGAATTGTGGTCTGTGAAATACGATGTTCTGGACGTCCTCTAGGTAGATCTTTTTACACCATGACTCAACAAAGGATTGAATAATAAGGAAGTGAAAATTTATTATGTCTATTGAACACCATTACGCAAAAGAATTATGCATTCTATCTGCTGTCGCCACAAATTATCGTCAAATTAATTCAGGGCATTGAGTTCAAGACCAAAAAGGTTCTTTTTCCGCCCACCGTATTGTTGACAATGACTGAATACTAGAGGTCCAACTTCCATAAGGAATGAAAATTTTTTTTGGAAGTCTTAAAACTAAATTTATTATCATTGATAGCAATTGAAAAATGTTTTTCTTTCGGGTTCATTTTATGACACATTACATACAAAAGTACTCGCATTTTGTCCCCTTAAATTCACGGAGACAAAATGTCAAATCGACTGCATAACAAGTGAAAAAGTTTCGAAATAAATAAAAAATTATTATTCCTTTGACACATTGTTTATTTAGATTTATTCCATGATAATAAAGGTTCAACCTCCATAAGAAATGAGCTTTTTTCAAGTTTTAAAACAAAAGTTATTATCATTATTAGCAAATGATCCATTTTTTTCCTTCGGGTACGTTAAAGGGCATATTTCCAGGTGCACAAATACTTCTACTTTTCTCAACAAATTCACGGAGACAAAATGTCAAATCGACTGCATAAAAAGTGAAAAAGTTTTAAAATAAAAAAATAAATTATTATTCCCTTGATACATTGTTTTCTTTAGATTTATTCCATGATACTAGAGTTTCAACCTCCATTTGAAATTAGTTTTTTTTTCAAGTTTTAAAACAAAAGTTATTATTATTATTAGCAATTAATTCATATTACAAATACTTGAACTTTTCTCAATAAATTCTCGGAGACGAAATATCACATCCACAATATATCCGGTGAAAAAAGTTCTGAAGTAAATGAAAATTCTTATTCCCTTGATACATTGTGCTCTTAGCATTTCTTTCATTATATTTTGGCGATACAGTGAGGTTATGTATATACTTTTGTGTAGGAAATCGTCAAATACATATTACGAAAAATGACTAAAATCTTCAGTGAATATCTTTTGTAAATGATATTGCCAGTGAACTAATACAAATACAAATTTATTTTCATGAAACATTATTCCCATACTATTTATTTTAAGTTGCTTTTGCCATATACAGTCAGGGTAGGTTTGTACTTCTATATAGGAAAATCAGCGAATAAATATTTCGTAAAAGTACTGGATTCTACTAAAGGATATATATTTTAAACAATAGTAAGTTTTGAAAAAGTATATACATATATTCTTATTCCCCTAATACATAGTTTCTACAAGATTTATTCCATGATTCTTTAATCAGATAAGGTAAAGTTAAGCAACAGTTAATTATATGTTGGAAAATCGAGTAATATTGAGCAACGGGATAGGAATTTTCTGAGAATACTTTCATTTAAAACAAAAAAAAAATAAATTATGTGAGACGTATGTAGAATTATTCAAAAGCTTTTACAAAAATATTCATTTTATTAAATATGCTAATAAGCAAAATGCACTGGATTCAAATAATATATTGATATGCGGAACATATGGTTATAAAATTATAATTTTACTATCAAAGATCTGTAGAGCAAGGAAAAAAAGATGCGTTCTCTTTAGATTTACAATCAGTTATTTTACATGCTGAGTTCATTAATTAACATGTTAGTTGTACCTAAGAGGCACGTCATATGTACTAAGATTTATGCAATTATGTGTAATACGTGCCTAGCTGACAATCAGTTATTAATCATTTTAACGCTTAGATATGTTACGAGATAAAAAAATAAAGGAATTAGTATGAAGCTTTAATTAAAACTAATTGATATGAGACAAATATTACTTTTAAGAATATGATAAATATTAAGTACCAGATGTATTCTTAAATTATACATCATAAGAATACTTTAAGTAAACTTCGGCAAAATTTTTTATTTTAAGTTTTACACATTTTATGATGTGAAGAGAATATTTATCTATCATTAGCCACACGTCTAGTATGACTGATTGATTATTCATAAAGTGAGAACGAATTGAAATATTCTTTAAGAAGAATGTGCATTTTCTTTCTTTTTTGTTTTGATTTATTATGATAAATATTAGCTACGCTACGCAAAAGTTTTTCCTTTTCACAATTTTTCTTAAAAGAGTATTCTATTTAAAATTAGGTTATCGACGGTTATATTACTAAATAAATAAAAATGTATTTTGTTTAGAAAAACATACATTTTATTTAATTGAATAAATGCAAAGATGAAAAAAAAACAAAACAATTTATTTATGTCCAATTATGAAATAATAACGTAATATGATAGTTTCATCTTCTTTCAACAAATAAAATGAACTATTGTTGATTCCAGAAATAAACCCTTGTCTAAATTGAAAAAAAAATCAAAACTTTTTTTGATTGCTTATACTACTTCCAAAGTAATACATTTCTTAAGGTGGGTTCGCAATAAACAATTAAACGAACTTTAAATCTACGTTTTGCGCTTGCGCAGAAGACGTGACGTCAATGTCTGAGCGTACTGAGTCCTCTCAACTGGATTTTACAAAATCTACTACGTTTTGCACTTATGAAGTGGACGTAATACACTGAAACATTAACATCGTCACTCTCTCTGCGTACATATAACAATCCAACGATTAGCTAACGAGTGTAAAATACTAACAGTGCATAGACATTAATAGTGATACAAACATATTTATTTTGTAAGTCTGCTGGTTCGTCTTTCAATTAAAGGGTTTGGGACGAAATGCTGACAAGTTAAATTTCAAATTGTTCTGGAGATCAGTTTTAAATAGCGGGTTAAGGTGTCATGATTTCCATGTAAGCGATAAGATGTTTCTGTGCAATGCGTTACCTAGTTGAGATTCCGGAATTTTTCACCCATCCGAAAACTAAGAGTTAGCAGGAGTGAAAATGGCATCTTCGGAAAATGTGGCTTATTATATTTATGAAATTTAATTTTATTTTATGAAATATAATTTTCAAGTAAGTATTGCTTTTACAGATAATTTGAATAAAATAAAATATTTCCCACACGAAACACGAGGAAATTTTGAAGGAAAAAAAAATCACTGATAATTACTCTTACTGATGTAAAATGTTACAAACTTTTAAGTATGCAACACTGGAATACATAACTAAAACTATAATTGAATTATTTGGTTATGCAATTGAAATTAAAAAATAATTAAAATATTACAAATTGTACCACTTTCAAAACACAATATACTTGATTGTGTTGTTATCTATTACTGGTTGGTTTGATGCATGTATGGTGCTGTTACATACAGGAAATCCCCAAAACTAACTTTAAGTACTTCCTATCTGAAAACAATACTAAGAGGAGCAACTTTAAAATGTAAAATCATTTTATTGCCCGAAATTCTTTAAATGTTATTGGTGGAGTAAGAAATTGTTGCACTCATTATTAAAATCTAAAAAAATACTATGCACTATAGCAATTGCTTAAGTATCAAATTAATTATGTTTATTAAGAAGTTATAGTTTATAAAAAACTATGAAATAACTTATTCGGAAATTCACTGTCTATTGCCGCCTATTCTATGGAGCTTAGATAGAGCTAGAGCTCCCTCAGTAATTCCCTACAAAGTCTATAAACATTATTTTGAGGAAAGTTGCAGAAAACGGCATCATTAGTTTCTTTTTTTCCCCTAATAGCTGCGAGAATAAAACTGCTTGGATTTTTATTCTAACTGAGATAGACTATCAGGTACATAATCAAAGTAATAAAATTTTTTTCCAACTGAAATATTTATTTAATAGCATTAAATAAGTTCAATGAACTTTCTACACTGAGAAGCAAATAGTTGATTTAAAAAAAATCGAAGATGATATATAGTTTTAAATTTAAAGTATTTTTTTTTTGCTTTTGATAAATTATGTTTGTTGGTAGGATTCAAGAACAGAAATCAAACAAAATGTAATTTTGATTATGCTTTTCTCTGCATTAAGATTTTATGTGCCCATCTTTTTACAATTGCAGTGATTAAATTTTCGTGGGATTTTGAGTTGATATAGCCTGTACCCGATCATGTCCTATTGACAAGGTCTCAGCTTTATCCGAAAGCATCATTTAAAAGAAAACATATATTTAAACGTGATACGAAATATATTTTAAGAATTCAAAATAATAGGTAAAAAGGTGTTATCGTAGGCTGAACTTCTGAAAATAAAACTTCAAGCAATAAGAAGTTACAGAGTACATTCTATGGTGTTAAAATCAAAACCTTCTTAATCAAATGTTTCTCACACCGTCGGTTTAAAAATAAATAGCCCTCACCATGAGTCATTAATTTAATTTTATATTTTATAACCGTCGTTGAACAGAATTTTGAGTTAACGACTAATGTTCAACTCCGTAGCTTTGTAATTTTGAACCCAATCCAGAAGACAAGGGAACTCCTGGATCAAGTATTGGGAGAAATTTGCCTTCATGGAGGACTTTTTGATCGAAATAATTAGCATTAGCGTTACATGGAGAGGAAGACCACGAGAACCTTCCACGGTTAACCAGGTGGCAAGGGGACTCTAACCCATGATCCGTCTACCACTGAGGATATTTCACGTCAGCACTGTGGTCGGTGCACGCCGGATGCGGAATTCGCATCGACCAGCCATCTTTGGGATTTGAATGGAAGGCGAACGGATCTTAATTGCATATCAGGTATAGCAGAAAGGCAAAAATTAGTTACTCTGCAGATTACCTTGGTAAATGAAGATTAACTATGGTAAACTGTTAAAGTGCCGAAAATTGTTTCATTTCTCAAATCACTTCGGTAATCTGCAAATTACCTATTACTTTCTGGATCTAATATCAGTGAAAATAAGTACAAATATAACAATAAATTTACTTACGTTTTTCTCGATATCAAGCGAATTAAGAGGATACAATCGAACAATCAGCAAATTAGTTGATAGAATCAATCATTAACCTATTAGAAGTTCCTAATATAAATAATGAAATATTATTACAATTAAGGAAATAATTATTATCAAAGATACGATGATGTATAAAAGTAGGAGGAGAGGGAGTAGTGAGGAGTAGGGAAAAGGAAATGAGAAACAGAAGACCTGATTAGTGAAATTATCTATACAGATAGATAAAATGGTAAATAGGTAGATAAAGATGCAATGCGACTAACACTTTATTTTGCACTTTCACCCAAATTAACCTGCCGATGATATACCTAAAGAATTAAGTTAGTAAAATTAAACAATCAACAAATTAGTTGATAGAATCAATCAATTAAAAATCCATCAATTTAATAATCAAATCGTTAAAAATGTAATTAGTAAGGGAAGCAAATCAGAAACGGAAGACTTGATCAGTAATATTATCTATACACAGGTAAAATGGCAAATAAGTAAATAATGGTATAACGAGAAAAATGCTTGATTTCGCATTTTAACCCTAATCAATCTTCAGATTAGATAGGTATTGTGCTCAGTGACGACTATTGAGGTATAGCAGTAACATGTTCGTTAGATAATTAACTTTTCTTAAAACTTTTTTATATAGATTTAAATGGACATACAAGCTCCAAGAAGAATATTTTAAGATGCAGAGGTTTTATTTTATTCACTGTATATTTTTGTAACAGTAAGAGAACTACAAAGTATATTATAATCGAATTATAAGGGGGATTCCACTGCTATATTTGAGTTTCGGACATCAAAAGGTACTTTTTTTAATTCCATGTTCTCTTTAGAGACAATGCTATTGAAGGAATTGTATTAAGACGTGACCTTCTCAACGCAAAAAACATTGAGCCAATCAAGAATGATGAATTGCAGCTTCCGGATATCCTGGTCTAACATTTTCTTGACATTATTGACGCCAACTCCGAGTTTTTGATTGAATAAACGCTACTTCTCAAATAGTAAAACTCAACAATGACTTACATCACGTAAAATGTTTTTTATAGAAAGCTGTACACAGTTTTTAATTGCAAAAAAAAGCATTGAAATTAGCAAAATTATAAAACAATGGCAATTAATAAATTGAGAATAAATGGGATTAAATATAGAATACGGCGAATGAGGCTAGACTGCGATAAACTCAAAGTAAAAAGTTTGCAATTCTAGCTGCTCAAAAAAAAAAAAAAAAAAAAAAAAAAAAAAAAAAAAAAAAAAAAAAAAAAAANAAAAAAAAAAAAAAAAAAAAAAAAAATACAAAACAGGCTGTACTACAAACTAAATTTTTCAATTATAGGTGATCAAAATATACAAATCAAGAAGTACTTGAAACTATAGTTTGAAAGTCCAGTTACGCAAAATATATAAATCAAGCGGTACTAGGAAATAAAGCTTTCAATTCTAGATGCTCAAAAATATACAAATCAAGTGGTACTAGAGTTTGCAATTATAGGTGATCAAAATATACAAATCAAGAAGTACTTGAAACTATAGTTTGAAAGTCTAGTTACGCAAAATATACAAATCAAGCGGTTCTAGGAAATAAATCTTTCAATTCTAGGTGCCCAAAATATACAAATCAAGTGGTACTAGAAACTAGAGTTTGAAATTATAGGTGATCAAAATATACAAATCAGGCTGTAAACTAATCTCTGAAGTAAAAAAAAAGATGTGGCGAACTCCAGTTAACTCAGTTTCAGTGTAATTAGTTATGTAGCAGCGTTAATAAGACAAGCTAATGAGCTTAGTTTGCAGCAATATTTGTACCAAAAACTGTCATTTTCTTCATAGAGTTAGCATTAGCTGCGAAAAGTAAGTTGAGTAGTTTTCAACCCCTTAGAAGCAAACACATAGGTGAGCAGAGAACAGGTATATATTTTGTTTAGTTTTTAACTGAAACGATGTTTCCAACAGATAACAAAATTTAACTGACTTCTAATTATTTATTAATTTGATATTTAGGTAACGTGCATCATAATGTAAAAAAATCCGTAATTTTACGGTTCCAAAATTTGCCAGGAAAATATACCGGTTCCGGTTGCCGGGACTTTTTACTGTAAAACTTCGTAGAATAAAAAAAATCTAAAGAATTTTTACCCAATATTTATTGAAAAATCACTAAATCACGGTAGTTAAATAATTATTATTGTGAAACATGGGGTATAAAATTTTACGATAAAAATGGATTTTACGGAAAAATTAATTTTACGGATGATGCACTCACGGTGCTGGCGCTTTTTTACTGTAATTTGATCGAGAATTTTTTTCAGCGCACCCTTATGATTTTTTATGAAACAATACTCCTATAATCCGATCTTTTCCCATTCTCTAAACGTCATTTAACGTCTTTCATGTGCAGTAAAAATCATTAAAATCAATGTTCATACATTACACTTTTAGATAAACCGCTTACTTGAAAAGGTAATAATAAGCATTTATTCTCCCATATTACATTTTAGAAAAATCGGTTCATCTTTACATTTTAGAAAAATCGGTTCATCTTTAAATTTTAGAAAAATCGGTTCATCTTTAAATTTTAGAAAAATCGGTTCATCTTTACATTTTAGAAAAATCGGTTCATCTTTACATTTTAGAAAATCGGTTCTTTTTTACATTTTAGAAAAATCGGTTCATCTTTACACTTTAGAAAAATCGGTTCATCTTTACATTTTAGAAAAATCGGTTCTTTTTACATTTTAGAAAAATCGGTTGATCTTTACATTTTAGAAAAATCGGTTCATCTTTACACTTTAGAAAAATCGGTTCATCTTTACACTTTAGAAAAATCGGTTCATCTTTACATTTTAAAAAAATCGGTTCATCTTTACATTTTAGAAAAATCGGTTCTTTTTTACATTTTAGAAAAATCGGTTCATCTTTACATTTTAGAAAAATCGGCTCATCTTTACATTTTAGAAAAATCGGTTCATCTTTACATTTCAGAAAAATCGGTTCATCTTTCAATTATTAATAGCATTTTTGCTCGCTTAATCTGCTTTTAGAAAAATTAGCTGGACGTTAAACCAATAATAGCATTCATGCTCACATATTATGCTTTCAGATAAATAGGTTCAACGTTGATTATTAATAACAAAGAGCTTAGTCGAGAAAGTAAATAGACATTTTATTGTATTTGAGTATATTAGCTTTGAAATTTATATGTTAATCATTTTTGTTACTCCACTTAATCTTTTTTTTTTTTAGTATATTTGTGAGGACATAACTCAAAATAGTTTTGGAGGTTATAGTGTTTTGATTGTAACTTTTTTTTATAAAGGAGGATTTTAAAAATTTTTGTTATTTTCATGGAGCATCTTTAATGCTTTTCAATGATTTTAATTTTGTTTAAAAATGAAAACATAAAGTAATACAGCACTGTACAGAACAAATATAGTAATAAATATTCCGCAATAACAAATATTAACGAAATGTAATTTAAGAAACAAACCTTAATTTGGGTCAAAATGGCATCAATTTTCATTTAGCCTTGTTAGCCCGAAAATGATTCAGAGACAGCCTGAGCTCAACTTTTGGGGAGTAGATATTTAACCGGTATTTATCTCTTTAATTGGTAACAATTCGGAAATTATTTATTTAAAAATAGGACTGATTGTAGTCAAAATTTTATGTCACTACGTTACATCTAAAAATATGTATAAATGCCTGAAACTGAATATAAGTATTTTTTATAAGTTTTAATACAAAGAATGTCTAGGTCTAGTTGTTGTAACACATAAATTATCTTCAAATTTTTTTTCATTAAAAATTAGCAGTTTAATGAATTTTTTTTTTAATTTGTAAAAATGTTCAAAAAACAGTTTTATGTATTTTTTATATCGTGATAAGCTACGTAATCATGAAAACTTAAGCGAATATAATTTTCTTATTAATTCAGATTACCACTTTGCAAATTTCCTGTACTGAACAGCCAATCCTCTCAATAGATTTGCCGTTTCTTTATGCTGGAAAAGTTGCATAAGCATGAAATACCATTTATTTTCAAAACAACTTTGCTCAGAATTTTTTTTCTATTTCTTATCACCTTATCAGTATACCTGAAACACAGAGTATTGCGAACCAGAAACAATAAATTGAATCTTGAAAAAATTTAAAGGCTATTATTTTCTACTTTTTAATTAGTGATTCGCAAATAGTGTTACTTATCCCATTTTATCATTGACTGCCTTTGGAATTAATATATATTTAACAATAAAAATGAATGCTAAATCGTTAAATAAGACTTAATCCTAGAAATTTTATTTCCTTTTTAAAATGTCATTTACTTCTTTCGCTTAGCTTTTCATTTAAGTTCGCAGATTGCACTTTCAGATATATTGGTTTAACGTTTGGATTTGGAGGACATATACATAACATATAAGTTTGCATTTAATACATTCAATTCAATTTTTAACTACTTTATGATCATATATTACTCTCCGAGATGCGAATTTTCGGCAACTTTAATCAGGTGTTAAAAAGAACCATATTTCAGTTCAAGTGATGCATAAAATCGCATAACCAAGAGTAAGAAGGTTAAATTTGGCATCACATTGAGGTTGCTAAGAATTTGCACGTGATATTGTAATTCAACGTAAACAGAGTACAAACAAATATTTTCTTACATCTATACAAAATAAGCAATAAGTTGCAAGAACCACTAAAAGCGGAGAGAATATATGCTGATATTTTATTGCACAGTTATTAATTTTGAAGATGAAAACTTGTTTTTAAATAATTTCAAATAAATATTCTCTTTTCAGTTTCCCTTTACTTTAAAAACGTACTATAAATATTCTCTCTAGGTTTCATTTATAAATAAACCAATTTTTATAAAAGATTAGAAAAGCCTTCAGAAGTGCTTTGTATTTCAATAACAAATTCCATACAAAATATCTTCGCCATTTTGCCCCAAAGAATCACCCAACCCCTGTTTACTTCGATTACAACGGTTGGGGTACTACAGAAAGAAAAATGTAAACTCAAAGACGTTTACAATAAGCTCTTAAGAATTTCATTCTTTCCTTTATAGCTCACTTATGTCGCTATAAAAAAAGGTGTGCGAGGATTTTGGGATTTTGGAAGGGGAAGTTAACCTTTTCAGAACTGATGGATTGTGGAAAATGGCTCATGTTTTCAAACTATTGAGTTTTCTAA